AAATATTTAGCCATGTGGGATAGGGGCCTCCATCTGGATTCCTGTCACAAGTCCTGCAAACGTCAGGACCCGGGTGACCGTGGCTGAGGAGTGACACTAGCGATACTGATTTTTATGTGATATCCCCTAATTTTTAAGTGTTGACAAACAGTTTAATAAGAACAAACGGTGCCACCGTGGGCACAAACCAAACATGTCTGTGGGCCAGATGAGGACCGTGGGTTGCCAGCTTGAAGCCTCTGCTGCAAAATGATGCCAATACCCGGCACCTGCACCAGAACCCACGTCTGTACAGAAGCTCTGCGAAACCTCCTTTCAGATTTAACCATGACATTGACCCTCTGAGACAGGTACTGCAGATCCATTTCATAGTTGGGGGAACTGAAGCTTGACAGGCTAGAGGAACAGGTCCCGAGCTACAAAACTCATGAGCGGTTACACCAGAATTTGAGTCTAAATCTTCAAACCCCAAGCCCAGCTGAGTCTTACACATGACTCATTTCTGCCAACACAGATCAAGCCCCATGATCCTAGAGTACGAGGTACTCTCCTTCTCACCCTCATACGGTGTTCCACGCGTGAGGGTGCTGAGACTCCAAGAAGTCAATTCACTAGCCTGAGGTCACATGGTCAGGATGAGGTTGGAGCCTGCTGGAACCAAGGTGTGACTTCTCTACAGCTGGAGTTTCATCTTGAGAAGGAGAAAGGTTGAACAAAAAGAACTCTGTTGGGAAGGGTCTTGCCCTCAGCTGAAAGCAGAGGAGCAACAGAGAGAGCCTTTTCTTGGCCGCTGTACGTGCAGTTAGAGCTTTGTGAGGTTGTAATCTGTGCTCAGAGGTGGTGGGGCAGGGGGAGCCTTACCCAGTCCTTTGAAATTAATCAGTGTAAAAACAGTCCATTGTGAAAACGAGGTTGTTGAGACAAACACCCGCAGACTCACTGTCAGTCTGCAGGCTGCTGGCATCAGGCTCTGGGGGCACTGGGAGTACTGGTTGTAGCCAAGAACAAGGGTATTTACAAACAGGTGTTTCTGCACAGGTAAGAGTACAGTGGCTGGGAGGAGAGTCCCATGTGTCAGGCACAGCCCTGGGGGTGCACATGGGGGTACTGGTCCCCACGAGGTCTTGGAGGCATCAAACCAGTCCACATCAACACATTTCATCCGGGAGCCTGTGAGCAGATGAACGCTGGTTATGTGCTGAGTGTTTGATGCCAGGTACTCCACTTCATGTTCCACATCCATGATCTTGTTAATCCTCATGACAGCCTGACCAGATAGGGGTTATGCCTTCCTAGTTTTCAAGTGAGGAAACTGAGGCACAGAGAGGTAAAGTGACTGGCCGAAGGTCACACAGGTGATAGAGGAGAGCTAGAATGTAAGCCCCAGATGGGCAGTTCCCAAGGGCTCTCCTCTTGACGGCTGGGCGATGCTGCCTGCTTTTAACTGGCTGTCCCACAGCGACTGTCAGCTCTGTCTTCACTGACTAATCAGTGCCCAAAACATTCTCTCTCTATCATCTGAAAATGGAGCAAATGACGACGAAAGGCAAGCACGTACATTTTGGGAGGATTAAGTGAGCTAACACTTGGACGATACTTAACCTGGCGTCTGGCATGATCAACATTGTGTGGTCCCACTTCTTTACAATCTAGTCAAAGCCCTGCCTACCTCCACAGCCCCACGCCCCCTGCTCCTCACACGAACCCGGAGTTGAGCCTCAGGGGCTGCTGCAGCTCTACAGAGGCTCTGCCCTCGGCCTAGCAAACTTCTCCCCAACCTTGCAGGTCCCGCTCAATGCTACTCCTCTTTGAAGGCCCCCAGGGAGTTAGCCCGCTTCCACCCTCACACTCACTGCATCCAGGGGTAGCTCTTCCCAGGCCCTTCTGGGCTTCCACCTGCTGTTCAGACCTCCATGTTGGCATTTCTTCGGAGTGTAATTACATGTTTACGGATGTTTCCCACAACAAACTCATCTGACATCCAATGTGCACTGGACAGAAACAGGCAGGCAGGTCTAAGGCTAACACTCCACTAAGAGGGAATGTTCCAGAGCACTCAGGACACCCAGTGTCCTCTACTGCACACCCACTAACCAGCTGGCACAATGGAAGGTTTGCCGAGCTCTTGCAGAAAGCCATCAAAAACCAAGCGATCCTTTGACCCACTGGCTCCACTTTTGTGAAGCATTCCTATGAAAACAATGGGGAAAACGGGACAAAAAGTGTTGTGTCCAGAACCACCTCTGGATTCTGATGGTAACAACAAAAAAGCAAACCATCTAAACGTCTAACCACAGAGAGGCGGCGGAGTCAGCTGGGGCAGTAACGCCTCTGTTGGCTATTTAGCACCTATGAGGGGCTAGTCACTTCACTTCGCACTGCCACGTCACCTCACAGTGTCGCCTCATCCTCACACACGCTCTCGTGAAGCGGGTGGCACAGTTATCCGTGCTGCAGGCTGGAGAAGATGGAGGCTCAGACACCACACGGCTAGTAACAGCTGTCAGCGGTTGAAAGTCTCCTGTGTTGAACCTGTTCTCAGCCATCTGGACACATCTCAGTCACTGCTCATGACAGCCTCCCTCTACCAACAAGGCCTGAGACCCAGACAAGTCAATAACACAACCAGGACCATGCTCCGGCCACATCCATGCCCACACCCCTGGGCTCCAGCTGCTGTGCCTTGGTCACCCAGCAGCCAGTGGCAGAAGAGGGTCTGGGGGACGGACACATCTGCTTCGAGAGCCACACGCTTTCCATGACAAGACACTGTTTTCCCGTGACAGACTTTGAATTCCCTCTGTTACAGGTTGAATTATGTCCCCTCAAAAGATGTTGAATTCCTAACTCCCCACACTGGTGAATGCGACTTTTGTTGGAACAGGTCTTGGCAGATGTCCAGGGTAAGATGAGACGGTTAGTGTGGGCCCTAATGTAACGTGACTGGCGGCCTTAAAAAAAAGGAAAATTTGGATACAGACTCAGATACACGTAGAGCAAAGACAGAGGGAGAACGACATCTACCAGCCAGGGAATACCTGACGTTACCAGAAGCCATGGGAAAGGCCCGAACAGATGATCCCTTGCAGCTCTCAGAAGGAACTACCCTGCCTATACCTTGAGTTTGTACTCCTAACCCAGAGAACACATTTCTGCAGTTTAAGCCCGAGTTTATTACTTTGTTGTGGCAGCCCCAGGAAAGGGACACAGGTTATCAGTAATTTATCAGACTATGGGGCAACCAGAAAAATAATGGTCACAGGGGCTACATAAAAATGTCTGAAGTAACACAGTGGCTCACTTCTGTAATCCCAGCACTTTGGGAGGCTGAGGAGGGCGGATCACCTGAGCCCGGGAGTGCCAGACTGGCCTGGGCAATACAGCCGAACCCTGTCTCTACAAAAAACAAAACAAAACAAAAACCCCAAAGTTAGCCAGGTGGAGTGGCATGTGCCTGTGATCCCAGATATTCTGGAGGCTGAGGTGGGGAGATCACCTGAGTTCCAGAGGTTAAGGCTGCAGTGAGCCATACTGCACTCCAGCCTGGGTGACAGAGTGAGACTCTGTCTCAAAACCAAAATGGCTGAGGTACGCATGAGATTAAAGGGAAAAGCAAGGGAAAAAGGCCTGCGGACTCTCTGATCACCACTATGGTAAAAACACACTTGGATGCAGATGGAAGACTGACAGGAAACACACCAGCACAACTAAGACGCCGGCCAATTTTTCTCCCTACTCTTCTACGTTTTTCCAATTTGATTCCGCAAATGTGCACTACTTTATACCTACTTTTTTGAGATGGAGCTTCATTCTTGTCACCCAGGCTGGAGTACAATGGCATGATTTTGGCTCACTGCAACCTCTGCCTTCCAGGTTCAAATGACTCTCCTGCCTCAGCCTCCCAAGTAGCTGGGATTACAGGCATGCATCACCATGCCTGACTAATTTTTGTATTTTTAGCAGAGATGGGGTTTCATCATGTTGGTCAGGCTTGTCTTGAACGCCTGACCTCAGGTGACCCACCTGCCGTGGCCTCCCAAAGTGCTGGGATTAAAGGCATGAGCCACCGTGCCCAGCCTCTTATAAATTTTATATAATTGGCTTAACAATGTATTTGGACTATGGGAAGATGGAGGTATATAAGATTATGGGCCAAATTGTATCCCTTCAAAATTTCTTTGTTGAAGGAATTCAACCCCCAGGACCTCAAAATTGTGACTGTATTTGGAGAAAGGGTCTTTAGAGAGATAATTAAGTTAAAATGGAGTTTTAGGGTGGGCTCTTAAGCCACTATGACCGTGTCCTTATAAGAAGAGAAGATTAGGGCTGGGTGCAATGGCTGGCCAGGCGAGGTGGCTCATGCCTGTAATCCCAGTACTTTGGGAGGCTGAGGTGGGTGGATCACCTGAGGTCAGGCGTTCGAGACCAGCCTGGCCAACAGGGCAAAACCCCATCTCTACTAAAAATACAAAAATTAGCTGGGCGTGGTGGCGGACGCCCGTAATCCCAGATACTTGGGAGGGTGAGGTAGGAGGATTGCTTGAACCTGGAGGTGGAGGTTGCAATGAGCTGAGATTGTACCATTGAATGCTTGGGTAGCAGAACAAGACTCCATCTTGACAAAAAAAAAAAAAAAAAAAAAAAGAAGAAGAGATGAGGACACAGAGAGACACCAGACACGTGCATGCACAGTGGGAAGACTGTGTGAAGGCAATGGGAGAAAGAAGGTAGCCACCTGCCAGCCAGGCAGAGGAGAGGGGCCTCAGAAAAACTAGCCCTGCCCACACCTCGAACTTGGACTTCCAGCCTCCAGGACTGTGAGAAAATACACCTCTGTTGTCTAAGCCACTCCGTCTGTGATGTTTTGTTGTGACAACCCTGGCAGACTAATACATGAAGCCCAAGGAAGGAGGGCCTTCCCACAGGCCCCGGCTCTGCAAGCTGGAGCAAAGCAACAGGCAGGCTGTGCCCAGAGGGCAGGATGTGGCTGTGTCACTCACCCAGGCAGTTGTGTCCATCGTGTGCCAGCATGAAGCCATCAAAGCAGGTGCACCTGTAGTTCCCTGGGATGTTGATGCACTCGTGGACACAGCCCCCATTGTAGTAGTCATTCTCACACTCATCAATGTCTGCAAAAGGAAGGACATGAGAGGTGTCAGAACAAGAGCCTGGCGGTCCCCTCTCCCAATGCTGTGGAAACCACTGGGATATGAGTGATTAGGGGATGATTCAACAAGTATTCACATAAATCCTCCCTGGGCGTTGGGGACCCAAGGATTTTAAAAATGCTAATCATGGCCAGGCGCGGTGGCTCACACCTGTAATCCCAGTACTTTGGAAGGCCAAGGCGGGTGGATCATGAGGTTCAGAGATCAAGACCATCCTGGCCAACATTTTTAGTAGAGAAACCCCATCTCTACTAAAAATACAAAAATTAGCTGGGTGTGGTGGCGCACGCCTGTAGTCCCAGTTACTCTGGAGGCTGAGGCAGAATCGCTTGAACCTGGGAGGTGAAAGTTGCAGTAAGCTGAGATCACGCCACTGCATTCCAGCCTGGCAACAGAGGTAGACTCTGAAAAAAAAAAAAAAAAAAAAAAAAAAAGCTAATCACATGTCCTTCCAGTTCCTACCACAGTGAACAGGCAAGATTCACACCTAGTTCTGCCTCCACTGAAAGCCTCTCCACATTGCCAGCATGCGGAGATCCGGTGTACAATTTCTGAAAACTAGCTCTCTTGAAACAGGGGGTATTGAGTAAAATTAACTGAACATCACCAAAAAGTGTAAAGTCTGGAATGGAAACAAAAGTCCACTAGCTCCTCCAAATACTTTCCTTCCACATCAGTGTCTGATGCCTGCATTTCAACTGCTCCAGCTTCCTCGCTATAACAAAGGCTTCTGTCTCATAAACAATGGCCAATAGCCCTGGTAAAGGTCACCCTTTTCGCTGTTTTAAGGCCTTTTCAACATTTCCCATCAGGGGTCAAAGGGTTATCAGTTCTGGAGTTCTAGAGAGATTTGAGAGACCCTGGAGAATGATAGGAACATGCCTAGTTAACCTCCTCTGAGCTGCTTCCACGCCCAAGAGCTGCTTGTAAGGCCATGTCACACCTCTTCAATCCCCACACTAACTCAGTGGTATAGGCATCATTCTCACTATTCCAATTTTGCAAGAGCATGGAAGAAACCGAGGCAAAATGAAGCTAAAACCTTGCGGAAGGTCACATACCTAGGAAGTGGTACAAATGAAATTCGAACCCTTGGGCTTCAGAGCCCAAGCGGCCTAACCCCCTACTTGGGAGGGCACCAGGCACAGCGAAAATCTGCCAGCCTGGGGGCGCGGGCTGTTCTGAAGGGTCTTCAGCAACCCCTCAGAACTCCTGGCCTCACTCAACCCAACCAACAGCCATCCTGACCTCCAGAGGCTCTGAGACACGCCGGGGAGAGAGGAGACCGGAAGTGCTCCCCACAGGGGAACCGGAACCGGAAGTGCATCACTAAGTGGAACCGGAAGTGCATTCACCAGGCTACCGAGGAGGAAGCTGCAGTTCCTCCCCTGTGGCGTAGAAGCGGGATTTTTAAGGCTGGGTTCCAGCTATGAAAGTGGGACTGGGGCCAGCCAGTAGAAGAAGAGAGCCTGGAGAAGGCAGGCCTGGCCTCCCCTCAACCTTTGGAGCTGCCATAGGGACACGGAACTCCTTGCTTTCTCCATACTGCCTGGGAGAGCAGAGCTACTCACAATGTGGGGAAGCCATGGGGCCTATGAATGTACATGGGTAGGAGTGTCGGTCTGCAAGGCAGAAGCTGTTGCAGGAGGTAGTGAGCTCCCTGACTTTGGAGATGACTAAGCACCTGCCTGCCAGAGATGCTGCAGAGCAAAGAGGATAACTTTAGTGAAAACGGCAGAAGAGAACACCCCGGAGTACCGGGTCTGGGCTGTGCAGCCACTCGTGGTGTCCACCCAGTCACAATGAGGGACAAAGTAGCCTGGGCTGGGTCTCCAAAGGCTCAAGAGATAGGAGTCTTCATCTAATCTACCTACAGGGGCACCTGCATCAGTTCTCAATTCTGCAGCTCATTTGAATTGTTTTGATTTGTTTGTATTTAGAGACAAGACCTCACTCTGTTGGCAAGGGTGGACTCAAACTCTTGGGCTCAAGGGATCCTCCTGCCTCAGCCTCCCTAGTAGCTGGGACTATAGGCATATGCCACTGTGCCTGGCTCTGAACTGTTTGTAATTCTGATATTTAATACACTTATAAATTGCAAATAAAATTAAGGGAGAATGTGATATTTTATGTTTACTGAAAAGGCACATCAATTTTTAAAAACTAAGAGATACTGATTACTTCTCAGTCTCTGTTTGCAGCCCTGATGTTTCTCCAGAGCCCCAGATGGACGAATGCAACCATCTCTTCCCTGGGTAGTCCAAAGATACTCCAAGGCAACAAAGCCTAACTTTAACTCATCAACCTGCACTTACCTGGGGGTTCCTCATCCCAGTGAATACTGTTTTCCTTCCACTGCTCCCTTAACATCAAATCAGCTAGCAAAGTGTGGTTTTTCTACACCCTTAATACAGTTACAGTCTGCCCACTGGTCACTTATTTTCACTATCTGTCAGCATGAGTATCACCTCACATCTGATTTGACCCAGCAGCCCCCAAACTGTTCCATCCCTCCCTTCCTCCTTCAAGCAGGTGATTCAGGGGGAAGCTGGCCTGGTCCTAACTCTGGGGGTAAAGTCTTATCAATTTTATCCAAACATCATGTGCCACTAGCAATTGCTGTTGGTCCCAGGGTTGGTAGGTGACTTACGCTGGATCAATCAGACTGAGGAAAAGGACTTTTATTCCATGCTTGGGTAAAAGAACTTTCTCTCTTCTTGTACCTCAGAAGGAGGTATCTACTCCTGAAACATACACCAGCTCCTTGAATTCTTACAACAACCCTCTGGAGTAGTTATTTTAACTCCACTTTATGGTTGAACAAACCAAAGTGCAGAGACGCTAGATAATTGCTCAGGGTCACATAGTAAGTGGTAGGGCAAGGATCAGAACAAAGTCTTTCAGTCTATGAAGTCCACATCCTTTCTACTAAGTTAGAATGCCTATGACATGCCAGTCATTGACAAAATGCTTTATACATGATACAATATTTCACTCTCGGCACATTTATGCTGTGTACTGAGTACTATCCAATCATCCAAATACTCATTTATCTGTCTATTCTACTACTTGTTCTGCATCTGTCTATATACACACACAAAGACACATGTGTGCATGCCTATCTATCTACCCAAATAACCAAGCAGCCAGCCATGCACCCATTCATCCAAGCATCCATCTACCCTTCCACTATCCATCCATCTACTCACCCTCAACCTATCCATTCAAATATCTACCCAACCATTCTTCCATTGATCTATTTCTGCTAAAATTTATCCATCTCAATATTCAGTGTGCTGACCACCCCACCCATCCATTTATCCAGCCAAACATTCACACATACATCCAACATGCATGCATCCATCTGTCTAAGTATTCAATCAGATGCCCATCCTTCCATTCATCTAAGCATTGACCCATCCAAACATCCATCCATCTAAGTGCTTAGCTACTCATCTGTATATTCATTGATTGAAATACCCACCCTTCTATCCAAACACATGTACACTTATGCACACACATGTACACACACACATTCAAACACCTACGTACCCCTCCATCAATCCAAACTTCTATTAACTCACTGACTCTTTCAAATATTATCCATCCAAACAGCTTATAAAATACAATAATTTTTTCAAATAGAATACGATATTAGGATGAAGGAAAATAAATAAGGGTTATAAGGGTTGAAGAATAAGATAAAGCTGGTGAAAATATACAAACACACATTTGATAATTGTAGCAGGATGACGGAAGGTGTGCTGTGAGCTTCCTGAAAGCCAAGACAAAGAAACACAATAGGTAATAGAGTTGCCACATCTATAAAATGTAATCAAACTAGTTGTTTTAATGGTGGTCAGGTCTGAGAAGCCTCAGAGCTACATAGGGAATGTCCTCCCATGCTTAGAATATCATACACTTTAATTCTCCTGACATAGCCCCAGTTTATGCCTGTTGTTGGGGCACAATTATTAACAGCAATTATTATCCTTTTCATTATTAAAATGATAAACTATCGTATCACTATACCCACAAGGCATTATAAAGATAACATTGAATAGTCACTAAAACAACTCCAGCCATTTCGTTCCTTTGACCCCCCCATAGGGTAAAGCCACAATAATTGCCACGGGGCTGGAGAGTGCAGAGATATTTGCTGGTTGCATCTCTTTCTTTAATCCATCCCCAGTGAGTTCTCCCAGACTGAGCATCTCTCAGAATGACCAGCTCCTCGCCAATCCCAGGCCTGCTGTGCATCCCAGGCTTCCGTGGGAGCCAGCTTTACCTCCCACTTCCCTGGATGGAGGACATCTGCTCATAAGCCAAACCTTCCCTGATTTTCCAAATTTGTACCTTGAATTTTTTGTTCTAAAATCATGTAAAGCCTCCTCCTTTAATACACAAGAGATAAACACACATATCAGCTAAAAAAAAAGCTGCCAAAGCAAGTGGATTTATTATTATAAAAACATTCTCAGGAGTCACTTCCCCTGGAAGAGGCACCACAGACCTCCGAGACACTCATCAGGCTCAGACCACTTTTTAAGGACTGAAAGCTAGAGAATGAGGAACAGGCAGGTGGAGGGGGAGGTAGTAGAGGAATGGAGGGGACAGAGCACAGCTCTGTGGATGTTTATTCTTAAAGGACTGGTGTGAAATGAATTGTGTCCCTGCAGAAAGATATATTGAGGTCCTAACCCCCAGGACCAGAGAATGTGATCTGACTTGGAAGTAGAGTCTTTGCAGACATAATCAAGTTCAGATGAGGTCATACTAGATTAGGGTGAGCCTTAATACAATGCCGGTGTCCTAAGAAGAGGGAAATTGGACACAGACATAAGGAGAGAAAAATACCATGTGAAGACAGACAGACACACAGAAAGAAGGCAGCCGTGTGATGATGAAGGCAGAGATTGGGGTGATGGAGCTGCATGTGAAACCAGGGTAAGAGCTGCTCT